CAGCAGGATCCACGCTAGACCTTCTTTAATGGTCACATTTGTTCTTGTCTTGTTTGCGTGTGTTTGGTTTTTGAGATTCTACTTAGTGAACTTTTTCCGACCTCCTCATGGAGTTTCTTAATCTTGTGCACACATTCCTTAGTATTCTCGCTAATCTTTAATGTCGACAGGAGCGGTACCAATTTAAGTGGAGTGAGCAGGTTGCCCCCACACACAATCTTAAATGGGGTGCATCCAGTAGTCTGACTTACAGATTTGTTGTAAGCAAACTAGGCATGAGCTAGAATCATATCCCATTATTTAATATCCTTCCCAACAAAGCATCTCAGCAGATTTCCAACTTTTCAGTTCACTACCACTGTCTGACTCTCTGTCTGTGGATGAGATGTGAATTTGCTCAAGAAATTGACATCATTGTCTGAAGGGAAGGGGCGGGGGGAGTCGATCTTATAGGTATTATCATGCAGCTTCCAAAGTAATTTGAAAGGTTCATTTGCTGTAGGCTTGAGTTTTTTGAATGTTCTATTGAGAATCCTCTTTCTACAGCAGGATCCACATTAGATCTTCTTCTTTAATGGTCACATTTTTTCTTGTCTTGTTTGCCTGTGTTTGGCATTTGAGATTCTACTTAGTGATTTTTTCCAACCTCCTCATGGAGTTTCTTAATCTTGTGCACACATTCCTTAGTATTCTCGCTAATCTTTAATGTCGACAGGAGCGGTACCAATTTAAGTGGAGTGAGCAGGTTGCCCCCATACACAATCTTAAATGGGGTGCATCCAGTAGTCTGACTTACAGATTTGTTGTAAGCAAACTCGACATGAGCTAGAATCATATCCGATTGTTTAATATCCTTCCCAACAAAGCATCTTAGCATATTTCCAACTTTTCTGTACACTACCACTGTCTGACTCTCTATCTATGGATGAGCTGTGAATTGAATTGAAGCTTTGTGGCTCAGGAAATTGACATCACTGTCTGAAGTGATGGTCCTCAGTATTCCGTGCAGCCTCACAATCTCTCTGAAGTATAAGTTGGCGACATGCGATGCTTCTAGTGTCTTGTGGCAGGGACTAAATATGCCATCTTACAGAATCAATCGACCACGATCATGATTGAATCCTTGTTCCGCTGTGTCCTCAAAAAGCTCACCACAAAATCCATGCCGACATCCACTTGCGGCGCTTTTGGTACTGGTAATTGCGTGTATAGTCCTGTATTTCGTCCTCTGGTTTTTGCCACATGACAAATTTGACTTTATTTGATATGCCGCTCCACATCTCTCACTAGAAAGGGCCAAAAAAACTGTTCCCTCACAAGTGCGAGTCTTGTCCTTGCTAAAATGCCCTATAAGTCTTCCACTATTGCTTTCCTTAACAATGGGCTCGTAACACTGTACAATAAGTACCCATCAGCTTAGTAGTACTGCCTAGTAGATTTATCCTAACACTGATCCTAGATTTTCTCGAAGTATAACTCCTTTACTACGTCAAGGCCTACAACTAGAGCTTGTTTAGGGTTTAGGGTTAGCAAGTGACGACGGCTCAATGCATTTGCGGCGCGGTTCTAACTTTCAGTCTTGTGCTTAAGCATGAACTAGAACGACATTAAGAACTCCACCCAAGTTGTGTGTCGGCCTTTCAGTTGCTCTGGTTGTTTAATAATTTCAAGGCTTAATGGTCCGTGAACAATGTGAGCTCGCTCTTCAGTAGGTAATGACTCCAATGCTCAAGAGCTCTGATAATAGCATAAAACTTCTTGTACATAGAGTATTTCCTCCTGGGATTGTTCAGCTTCTCACTGAAAAGATGCTGGGGCGATCCCTCCTGGCCCATATATGCTTCTATCCGCACGCCAAATGCATCACACTCTTTCTCAAACAACTTATTGAAATCTAGTAATGCCAAGACTGGAGATTGGGTTCACCTTCTCCTTTAGTGCTTTGAAACTATTTTGAGCTGCCTTTGTTCATTGAAATTTCTCTCCCTTCAAAAGTTCTATCAGGGGAGCGGTGGTAATACTGAAGCTCCTGATGAAGTACCTATAACATGACACTAGTCTCATAAACTTACTTGGTGAACAACTGTGGTGCGGTCCAACTCACAATGGCTTCGATCTTTGTAGGATCCATCAGATTGCCTGCACTAGATGCGATATAACCTAAAAAACATACATGTGCTATCAAAAAGTTGCTCTTCTTTGGATGAACATATATATTTTTTTTTCTCGAAACACCTCTAATACCTTCCTCAGGTGTTGTAAGTGCTCCTCGGATCGGATGTATACCAGAATATCGTTAAAGCATACCACCACAAATTTTTCATTATGGGCCTGAAATACCTAATTCATAAACTCATAAAAGTGTTAGGAGCGTTAGATAATCTGAAGTGCATAACTTCCCACTTGTATATCATCTCGTGTCTTGAAAGTAGTCTTTCATTAGTCTCTTGGCCTCATTCGGATCTAGTGATACCCACTGCTTAAATTGATCTTGAAAAACAAGGTGGCTCTATGCAACTGATCCAAGAGATTGTCCAGGCGAGGTATGAGAAATTAGTACTTGATATTAATCTTGTTGATGGCTCTACTATCGATGCACATCCGCCACAAATGTCCTTCTTAGGTACCATCAGGGCGGGGACTACACATGGACTGGACTGGTACTCTCTCCGACCAACCCTCTAATGACGAGATCTTTTACCTATCGCTGCAACTCCTCGTACTTCATATATCTCAATCTATAAGTAGGCCGGTTTGGCAACATTGATCCATGCATGAGATTTATTGCATGCTAAATATCTCTCATTGGCGATAATCACTTTAGAAGATTGTCGGTCATCTCATCTTGGAAGTCATGTAGTAGTGGTTATAGTTGTTCTGATATCTCACTCTCCTCAGTTCCCTCTAGCAGAACTAAAGTTAGTGCCATCGGAGCATCTCAAACTGACTGTAAGAAGGTGGCCCTCGAGACTAATTCTCCTCTCTATCGTCTACACCTCTCGCATCCTTAACAGATAACAACATGATGCGCTTCTCATCCTTTTTAAAGGAGTAAGCATTCTTGAAGTTATCCTGTTGAGTCTTACGGTCGAATTGTCCAAGTCTCTCTAACAGAATATGCAACGCGTCCTTCAGAACCACGTCTCATCTCCCCCTTTTAGGTAAGAGAATAGTATTAAGAGTGTTTCAATGTAGCTAATCCCAATTTTTTCATCATCAGCGTAGACACCATATTTTCACAACTCCCACCGTCGATAATCAACTTACAAACTTTATCATTCACTGTACACTTGGTGCGAAAGATACCGTCTCAGCCATGACTGATCTCTCTGCGACTCTAACTGCAGAACTCTCTGTATGACTAACCTCTTTGCCTTGTCATCCTGGAGCCGAAGTTCTTCCTCTAGAGTGTCCTCTGATTTCTCATCCTCAACCTCCTCAACGACGCCTTGATTTGTGAATGAAATAACTCGGCTTATGGGACAACTAAAGGTTATGTGTCCGTAGCCGTGGCAGCTGAAACACCTCTTAGCAGTCACTGCACTGGGCAAGCTATCTTTTCCAGCTTCTTTACAATCAGATCTGTCTTATCATTTCCCTGTTTTGTCTTGCTGTCGGTCGTTGTAGCTGTAAGTGATTGCTTGACTAAGGGTTGCTGTCTGAATGAGGATTTTTGCCTGCTCTGTTTCAATTGTCTTTCCACTTTCAAGGCTAATATTTGGACATCTCCCATTGACATAACTGCACTACATTGCTAATAACAGTCTTCAGACCCCCCAAGTATCGGGCTGTAGTGTGTTTCTCTGACTCGACCAACTCACACTTCATTTGCAACTCGCCAAACTATGCAGTGAACTCCTCTATTGATAAGTCTCATTGTTGTAGGTGGTGGAGCCTCATAAACATATCTTGGTGGTAATGGGCTCGTATGTATTTCTTCTGCATTTCTTTCGTTATCTTTTCCCACTTAGTAATGCTATTGTTGTTTCCTCTTTTCCTTTCTCTGCAAGTTTTCTCACTATAGGAGGTGCTCTTTTTCAACTTGATGACTGCTATTTTGATCTGTTTATCCTCTGACACTTATACACCATGATCTGCTTAAAAGATTGCAGCCAATCTATAAAGTTTTTTGGATCCATATTTTTATCGAATTCAGGTAGATCCACTTTGATACCGAAATCCCTGTGTCCTTCATATGTGATCTCCTCTCTCAACCTTCTTTGATATTGAATTTCGAAGCATCGAGGCTTGTATTCTTCATCACTGGAGTTTTCTCTATGGAACATATTCAAATCCTTGTTTTTTGTTTCCTTCGACTCTCCAAATCTCGGTCGAAGGTAATCTTTCCTTGGTCCCATCATCAGTCTTTGCAAGCTTTTGCTGAAGACGACAGATCTCCCAATGTAATCTCATCCAAGGTAGGGTCCGATATGTATCTCCATGATGACATGGTTAGGGTTTGGGATTTATGAGAGAGGAAAGGGTATTGGTGGTAGGGAAGAAAATTTTAGTTATGGCGGATGCTAAGGAACCTTAGGATACGACTTGGGTTAGATTAGCTCCGACACCAAATAATACCGGAATTAACCCGGAAAACGACAAAAAACAAAAATATATATTATTTCTGGAACTTTACAGAGAATCACAACAAATGTTCTCAAAACATGAAATAAAGAATACAAGCACAAACAAGCCCTAGGACGAGGACAAAAGTGGTGAATCCAGCCGGACAGCTGCATGGAGTTGGTCTTGTCTGCGGAGGTGGCTGGAAGGGGCGGTGATAGCAGTTTTGGTTGAAGAGGAAGTGGTGCCAGCAGTTGGGGGTTTAAGAAGGTGGGACGGTAGCATGCTAGGGTGTTGGAGGGCTGGCTGCAGCAGATGGAGTGGCAGGAGGGAGCTGATGGCAGCAACAGAGGGTCCAACAGAGGGTGAGGGGGTGGCCAGTGGCAGCAGGCGGGACTGCGGGTAGATTGGCGACAACAGCTGAAGGTGAACGTGGGCTGGCAGCCACAAAAATAGGAAAAGTTTGATGCTGAGATGAAAGCAACGGGCAGGGGAAGGGAATAGGAGTGGTTGTAGGTAGAGGTAGTCATTACCTCGGAATAAGTTACAGCAGGTACTTCCCGCCCATTGAATCAGCCGGTCAGTCCAGCCCTCTGTTGAACTGGTTGAGCTGGTTCAGCCAAGTCCCGAGTCATTGGGTTGGACGTTGGGGTCAACATTGGGCTTGAGTTTGGCTTAATAGTTGAACCTGGCTTTTGATTTGGCCAATTGATGTTAGAGCCTCCTAGTTCATCGCCTTGAATGTTTGTTAATACCTTTATTAAGACCCCATGAATGAACTAAAACTTAAATAGGCATGCAATACATCCTTGTTTTCCTTTTGGTTTATAACCTTATAGAAAACAGTCATATTTCTGCATACAAAGCTCCCGATTATCTCTGCAGCAGGATTCTACAGACCAGAGTTACACCATCAACCGGTGTACAAATGATGGCAAATTTTGATTCAAAGTGATATTTCATGGTATTTTTAATCATGAATTCTGCCTGGGTTAGCATCAATATGGCACATTTTCCGAGAGGCTGGTAAAGTTTACTTTAAAAACTGAGTGGGGGGCGTTACCTAGGTCAAGACTTACATGACCATGCTGCGAAAGCATACAGTTGCAACATGGCTCACCATAAAAAAATGACTGCTTATTAAAAGTGGAACGTGTTTTGTTTTTCTTACTTTGTATTCATATGATTTTTGGGTTTAATATAATGTAATATCTGTTACTGATGCAGTAAGGAAATCATGTCGTTTCTACTGTGAGGCTGTTCCGTGATGGGTCCAACTGTCAATTTGTACTGCTTGTTGGTGCCATCGTAAAATCAGAAGGAAACTGTGAGGGCGGTATTAAAGATTCCCTTTGTGGTGGTTTATGAATCTATTTTCGGCAAACTGAAAACCAAACTTTTTTCCTAGTTAATAGTTTTTAGCTAAATGAGTAGCGGTCTGAAACATTGATTTTTGTTTTCTTTACATGGTACCAGAACACACCCTAATGCCTTTTGGTGGTTCACTTTACTTTCCAGCCACTTAAATGATTTTTTTAATAGTAAACCCGTTGTTTTTTTTGTCACATCTACATTTTTTATGTTCTCATTAAATTTCATTTCTGCTTGATTTACCTGTTATTCTATCCCTTTTAGAAGCCTTTACATTTTACTAGTTTAATAGGCTTAATTTTCTTGTTATTTATTGGGTCCATGAGTTTTTTTTCTCATCTTTTTAGGGATGGGGATGTGCATATCGTTCTCTACAAACTATCATATCTTGGTTTAGGCTTCAACATTACACATCAATTGGCGTTCCTTCCCACAGGTGAATTTTTTTTATTTAACACATTTGTCTTAAATGGAGTAAATCTATTTCTACACTCACATTCTTTTGTAAATATGTATATTTCATTTTAACAGCTGCTTTTGTTGTCACTATTTTTGAAGATTCTTTATTTGCATACAGTTTTTAATGGATGCAGCCTTATGGACAGTACTTAATCCAATTACATGATTCGCTTTGTTTGCTGTTCTAGTTACTGTCATTTATTTTCAGGGAAATTCAGCAGGCTCTTGTTGATATTGGCGATAAGGAGCCCTCTTTTGTAGGATCACGTGAATGGATTGGAGCAATTGAGTTGGGATTTGTCCTGGATAAACTTCTTGGGGTATGAATTCCCATTTTATACAAGGCTAGTACATTTTTGTTCAATGATCAAGAGCTTGATAATTTACAGTTTATGTAATCTAGATTTTAGGCTTACTACTTGATTTAGATGTAATTTTGTTAGTTCTGATTCTGCTTAATTAAGAAGGGTCAGTGGATGGAAGCAATTTAATCTCCATGAAGATTATAGCATTTGATTTAATGTTTTTTCTTTAAGAAAACAATTATTTATAAAGATATTTTAATCTTTGTCAAACAAACATCTTGCAATGAACCTATAGGATATAACTGAACCGTAATATTTGTGTTTCTAATTTATTCAGAGACTAAAATTATGGTTTGTAGATCATGGATTGGCTTTCTATCATCTATTTTGCTTCTTATAGACTGTAATATCATAATAATTGTCATTAATTTTATCCCAAATACTTGGGGACTTTAAGTTCTCCGTGGGAGAAAATGTGTAGTTATGATTTCAAGCTGAGCCAATAACTTCTCATGTGGCACTGTAAATCAGCTCACAGAGAGGACGGTGAGAGCCAGTGAAGGACATGGTGGATTATTGGAAGACAAAAAGTTCAGAGGTCTGAGAGGTGACAAAGCTATGGTTGGAGTGAATGTTGCATGAGCTGCAGGCAATGACCTCACAAAACGTGCGTGTTGAAAACCATTGGAGATTTGGGTGCTTTATGGCTCACAAACATGTGCAGCATTGATGAAAACCATTACAAATCTTGTTGTCGTGCGATGTATTTTTCATTGTAGTGGGATTGAAAGATTGGTGATCTAATTACATTGCGGTGGGATTGAATGATTGGTGATCTTGTTGATTTGTGGCTTTCTGAAGAGACTTTAACCTTTATAAATTTGTTTTTGTTGGTTGGCACTTGGTTCCATTGGTCTAGGTCTCTTCTCTAAGACCAGTGACACTGAACATCTATGTTGAGCAGTGTCCATGTTGTTTTATCCTTTTTCTTTGCTCCATGATGTTGGGTTATCTCGTTTTTGCCTTTGAACCAAAGTTGTAGTTCTTAATTTGTGCTATTCTTTCCGTGAAACTATAGTTCATTGCGTTGTGAAAAATGACAACAATAAATCGAAAAATTAGAACGAGAAATTCACAAAATACAAGCAATACACAGATTTACGTGGTTCGACAAATTGCCTACGTCCACGGAGTTGCAGAAGATTTTATTGTTTTGAGGATTACACACTGTCAATCGCCTCGACGATTATAAGAAAAGACTCTCTCTCTCTCTCTCTCTCCTCTCTCTTTATCTCTCTACCCGAGTGTCGCAGCCAAAGACACCAAACGAGGGAGCATAAAACTTGCAATTTCCTTGCTCTTCTTTTGCTGTCGTAAGCCAATTGCCGAAGAGAACCGCAAAGGGGGGAGTGGTGCAGTGCGATTGACTCCCTGCTCCAATTTATTCTTCCTTTTCTTCGGCCCATCTAGGCAAGGGCTTCAATATTCACGAAATCAAGGAGAAGGCGGGAACAAGCGAGATTCGGGCCAAGCAGAATAATTAATATTGTATTCCTTAATTCGTCAACAGGAGGGAGGCAGGAGACCAAACATGGAAGAGTCTAGGCAAGCTTTACAAAGGAAGGAATCATTAATTAAGAAGCAATTTAATTAGCTGCCAATTTGAACAGTGGACTGGGCTCCACAATCTCAATAAATCTTGTACATTGGCAGAAACAGGTGAGATTCGGGCCAAGCAGAATAATTAATATTGCTTTCCTTAATTCGTCAAGAGGAGGGAGGCCGGAGACCAAACATTTAAGAGTCCAGGCGGGCTTTACAAAGGAAGGAATCATTAATTAAGAAGCAATTTAATTAGCTGCCAATTTGAACAGTGGACCGGGCTCTACCAATCTCAACATATTGGGGATCCCAACCTAATCTCACTTTCCCTTGTGGTGAAAGGCTTACTCCTACTGCTTCTGATAAACTTAAAACATTCCTATAACCCCTCACAAATAATTAGATTAATGGACATCTGATGGCATCAATGTACCCAAGACCTTCAGGGGTAAACCAGCGATTATGTTATTGGAGTACGAGATTATTTTGTTAACAATAAGCTCTTAGTACACCTTGTTGATTTTTTCAGTCATGTGCATTATGTCTCGGTTTTAGCTTTGAAAATAATCAAGTGGACTCCTTTCTTCATTGCGAAAGAGGAACCCTGCAGTTACTTCTGTTTGGATTTCCATCACACAAACTAGAGTATCACATCAGTCATGCTATTCTGTGTTCTTTTGGCTCTATATTTGAAAAGTGTTCAGAAGTCGATGCCACAATAGTTATCTCATCCATTTGTTGTTTGGAAGTTTTACTAGAGATTGATGTTACTGAAATGAGCAGCTTAGTTTGGATTGGTTCTGATAGTCATGGATACTAGCAGATTGTAATATTTAAATTGCTCGTTTTGTATTGTCGACATTGCAAGATCCATGGGCATGAGAACTCTATTTTTTTCAAGTTAAAAGAGTCCTGATATCGACCATTGTTGCTAAGATTGATAATGACTACAGTGTTAAATGCTCTAAGTAATGACGAATGATCCTTGATCTGGTAGTAGAAGTAGAGGATGAGTATTTGAGCTTTGGCGGTGGAGCGGAGGGCTGGGACAGCGAGGGGCAGTGAAGGGGAAGGGCTGTGCTCTCTATGAAAGCAAGAGGACTGTTGCCTGGTGTGGGGGCAGCAAGTGAGGACTGCAGCTAGGCTGTGGGAGGTGGTTTTGGTAGCTGGGACAGCAGTGAGGCGGCACGGGGAATAGTTTTGGGTGGAGGGAACAACAAGCGCAGCAGAGAAGTGCTGGAACAGCGGCTAAGCTGCAGGGGTGCGGTTCAAGGGCTGGAATGGCAGTGGACAGTGGGTAGAGAGGGAGAGGATGGATGGATCGGGGCCTGGATGGCCGGGAGCTGAGGTAAAAATAGCGGCTGCACTGTTTTCTGGGAACGACAACAAGGTGGGAGTGGCTGTAAGGGATGGCTACAGGTGGAGGAAGTGGTGGGTGGTGGGTGGTGGGTGGTGGCTGGTGGCTGGAGTTGCAGGAAGACAACAGAAGTGTTGTCCAATGGTTACGACAGTGACGAAAGGCAGCGTTGGCAGGGAGGGGTGGGTTGCGGGGGATGGGAAGTCGAAGATAAATGCCCAGTCGGAACGAGTTATAGTCAGAGTACCACTTGATCCCTTGAAAGAAAATCACAACCTTTGACGAGCTATAGTCGGAGCACCACCCGCTATTGGATATAGCCCTAAGATGGGAGAGAGAAAGGATGCCAACGGTTGTCTCGACAGAAAACATACAACAAAATTAAAAACCTAAGCACATGAATCAAATATATAAACTCTAGATAATTAGGATCACTGCTGAAAAGAGGCATCAAATCCACATAAGGAATGTCGACTAGCCCTCAGAATCTTGGTATGAACCGGTCCATGCTGCCAAAGTTTCACTGTATCTAGTCTGGATGCTGAAGCGGTCGCCGGACTGTAGCAAGGGTCGCAAGACTATAGCGGGATCGTGGAAAGGGTCTCATGCTGGGAAGCTCCTGCATCACACCTCCCTTCTCTCTCTTTCCTCTCTCTTTGCTTGTTGTTGTGAGTTGTTTCAACATAAAATTACAATCTTTTTAGATGTTAAATATTGCTTAAAGTTGGCAGGTAACAAGCTTGACTATGCTAGGTAGTTTATGATAGGTAGCATAATATAAACATTAGGTGGTGGATGCTAGATATAAATTTATAGGATTTTGGTACATGAGCTGGCTAAAGAAATTTGTCTTCATATCTTAACTTATTTCGATAAAATAATTGGTTTCCAATCTTAGGATTGCATACAAGCAGAGCTTATCAAAGGGTTGTTTAAGATTGAGCCCTTTATCAAAATAATGTTCAACTACAGTTTGAGCTCGATTTGAGCTTGTGTGATAGTGTTCAAGATCGGTTTATTTAAATTCATTTTTCTTCAACTTGCTTTAAGCTTGTTTTGAGCATGGTTTATTTGTGATCCACAAGCTTTAAACAAGCTACCCGTTTAAAAACATAAACAAACTTTATTGAACCAAGTATTGAGCTTTAAAGAGTAATCTTATTAAACTTAAAAAATAAAATTTTTATTTAAAAAGCTTTAAATCTTGTCTTGTGACACTGCTATTTGGGTCCCAATCGCCATATACGAAAAGTAGTGCGTTAGGTGGTTGAAAACTAGCGCAAAATTTTTGTCAAAAAATTATGACTTGAATACTTTAAATCATTGTTTAAATGCTTGGGAGTCCCTTGGAAATGATGCACTGTTGATATGAATATAAGTGAAAAATATGCTAGGGCCGCTATAACGACGCTCAGAAATATTTTTAAATAAGTAAAAGTTCCCACTTTATGGATGGATGCTAGCAAATAAGTTGGTCCTTGAAACTAATATTAGGATTTGATCTTGAAATATAGTTACTCTCCCAGGTAAATTGATGGAGTTAGTAGATATTATGTTTCATAGAAAGATAAATATCTTACGAATTTAAGATATTAAATGGGTTGGAGAAAAGACAAAGTAGATTGATAGCTTAAGTTTTAAACTTTGGTATTCAGGTAGGTGTCGCATTAGAAATGGTGTAGGTGTAATTATAGATAAGAATTTGAAAATAATATTGTAATAATTAATAAAATTTGAGATAGAATTATAGCCTTAAAGTTTATTGTTGATACTAAAATTTTTAATGTTTAATGCTTATGCTCCTTAAGTAGATTTAAATATAGATTCAAAAGAAAAATTCTAGAACGTCTTAGAAGATTAATATAAATAATACATTATGAAGAAAGAATTTTTATTAAAGGAGATTTAAATAGACATGTTAGTAGAGTGGTAGAAGATTTTAGAAATATTCATGGTGGTTACGGTTTTAGAGTGATTAATGAAGAAGGTAGAATCATATTAGATTTTTGCTTTAGTATATGATGTTTTTGCTGATACTTTATTTAAGAAAGAGATG